AATTATTATATAATAATAATTTGTTTACACTAAGTCTCTGGAGATCATGGATTCAAATACTACTTAAAGAAGTTTAGAGTGAATTACCATCTTCTCTAAACCAACTGTAACAGTTGATGAAATGCAAGTTTTCAACTCAGGTGCCCTTTAACAATGATATCAATCTGCACTTTTCAAACACATTCTGTCTTAACAATGCTGTTCTTCACTTTCCAGAACATACACTGCAATTTGGCTACTTTGGTTTCTGCTTTTAACCACTTTCCTAGACTTTCATGATTTTATTTTTCAGTGTCAGTAAGAGAAATTGAATGCCAGCTTTTGGGATCTCTCTTTTAAACTGTGTTGACACTGCATTACACTCAGATTTCAGTGAGTGTCCCAAAACCTAGCCCTGCACAGGGTGCAGCACTTCTCCATTCACATGTGGGATGGTCCTTCATAAAACAGCTCCTCTAAGAAAAATGTGGCATTTAGCCAGAGAAACTGACAGACACAGGCAGACAGACCATGATAAAACCATTACACTTATTCTCACCGTACCTTGTAAAAAAATCCAGCCACGACATCAAGAGAATGGTCATCTGTGAAGGCAATTATTGACATATTAACCTTGACAAAGGCTCTCTCTAGTGGTACATTCTGTCATGGTCTTCCTTTCAGAAATTTCTTGCACAGACAAGCTGCTAACAACGACTAGCTGTTACTCTAGCTATTGCTTTTTAAAGCAGCAATTGAGTTAAAAGTATTAAACCACATTTTTTAAAAGAAAACATCACTTTACCCAATAGATGTATATGTGTGTGTATGTATATATATATATATATATACATAAAAAATTTTCAACATTTATTTTTAATTGAAACAAACTGAGAAGCAAGACCTTGCTGGTTTACAGCAAAATAAGGCCCCTTCAAGAACACAAGCCATACATGCAAACAAGAAGAGTAAGGTCAAATAAATCTGCTAACCAAAAACATGTAAGCAAGCAATTATACCTAACGTAAACCAGAAAGGATAAAGCTTGGAGAAGGCACAACTACATGAAAAAAAACTCTCATCCAAGCAGATTAATGCCTCTGTGGAACAGAGAGGGATATTTTAAGAGAAACTTGTTAAAGGATAGCAAATAACCTCTAGTGAACATATACAATAATTTACACAAAAGTTGTTTGAATATCAAATTGCACAACACAGATAGCTACATTCACTGTTCCAGTTGGGGGTGGGACATGGGGAAAGCAAGGAGGAGGCAGAAGTTGGGGAGCTCCTGCTTTCCAACCAAAATCCAGGAGAACTGTTGGAAAACAAGCACCAATTTTCTACTAAGAATGGCAAGGAAGGCACCAGTAATTATTTTTACACTCTTTGTCACCTCCTGTCTGCAAGTTCCCACACTGTTCACTGCTCTGAATGTGCATGTTTTCAGCCACATGAGATCCCAGTTCATGGCTTAGGCAGGAAGGACTGACAGCCCTGCATTACCACAGGGCTTTCAGTTCCCTTGTTTCACACAGGTGGTACCTACTCTGCCTCCTCTCCCATAGTGAAGGCTACTGGTCATATTTTGCAAGATTGCCTCTTCCCAGATTGTTTGCTCTTATAGAATAGACTTAAGCATAGCTAGTACCTTTTTCAAAACCAGCTTTAAAACAGATTACAACTACACAAGTTGGGAAAATCTTATTAGAGATCACAAACCAAGTATAACTAACAATCCCTAAGTACCTGAAGTTTGTTTGTTCATCTTTTCTACTATCTTGAGCTGTAAAATTATTCAAACAGAGAACACTAGCAAAGCAGCTTAACTTTGTCTACTGATTTTAATGAAAAACTTGAAGCTGAGCACTTGATAACTAATTTCACTATAAAGCCATATCATACAGCTGTTTCATTTTTTGCCAACACATAAAATTAAGGTGAACATTCACAAAACATAGGTAAAGCAAAACCTTTAAAACTTAACACTGAACTTACTCGAACTGAAACACAAAGTGAGCCACAAAACCAGTAGTGGCACACCACACCAGACATTTCATGAAACTACTTCATGTATGATCACAACAAGCTGCTAGCACCCTCTTTCTTTTAGGAAATCATTAACAGCAGATTATTTAGACTGAGCCAAGATGGTCTGTCACATTAACTGAGCACTTACCATGACAATAATCCTGACCATGAGAGTGTCCATGGCCGTGTCCATGATCATGAGAGTGTCCATGGGCATGTTTATGTTCATGGCTGTGACCATGACCTCCGTGACCATGGCTGAGTCCACCATTAAACAGAGAATGGCTGTGCTCATGCCCTAGGAACAAATAGCACCATCAGAGCATGAACTTAAATGATGAATAAAAGTACACTTACATTTGTTTCTAAGTTATTCAAAACCCATTGGTCTTTTAGGCCATCTTAAGATACGGCTTTAAATAATTTAAGAAACATAATACAAGCTGTTTGTCAGCTACAGCTCTGCTGTGTAGCCATGTAAAATATATATACAACACAAAATATATACCTGATTTGAGCAGCCAAGTGATTTTATACATTCCCACTTCTAAGACAAGATGTGCTACACTTTTAGCACAATTTGAAAAACGTACACATGCTTAAATAGAAGCACATTAAAACCAGCTGTTTTAAGAAACCAGAATTTGCCTATCATTCACACATTAAAAATCCAAGCTTATATTGCTGCTTAAAGACCAAAGACTTTTTTTTCCATCAGTCCACGAAAGTTTAAATGTTAAATCAAAAGAGGTACCAATTGGCTATGCAGAAAAAAACCCAAAGTGTTTACCACATGTATTTACACAAATTCTGCATTTCAATTCCAAGTACTCTAAGTTGAGAAGCACCTGAAGATGAAACATCTCATGCTTTAAAATCTGGTTCAGACACTGCCTTCTAAATTTTCCACCAACAACCTTGCTCACATCCAGCATAATTTTGCCCCAAGGACACTGTGCAAATCTCCTTCAGTAAGATGCAGAAGAGTGCATGTTCTAGAAAGCAGATTCTGGAGTTCTAGGTGTTCCAGTTAATGGATATTAACATGAGAAGTACAACAGTGACATACCAGGGCTAGTGATAAAAGTCACAAGTCAACATTGCAAGAAGTCACATATACATTTGGCTAGGATTGCCACTAAAAACACATTAAAATTTAATATTGGGGTTCTCGTTGGAGGATAATAATGTCCTGTAACACAGGGTGCCAAGCAAGAAAACAGTACCGAAAGTTGGAAACATCCTACCAGAGCCATGTGAATGCCCATGACCTCCGTGTTGAAAAACAAATATTCCTATAAGATTTACAATGAATCCTAGTATAGAAACAGGAAGAAGTCTGTCATGATGCACATCAGGAGGCTCAAGCGCTCTCTAAAAAAAAGACAGCAAACCAAATAGCAAATGTAGAGTTTTACAGTTCTCTTGACATTACTAAAAACTACCAAAAAAAACTACTGAGATACAGAAACATTCTTATACAAACGTATGTATAGACATAATTAGAAATTACTCAGGACTTTTGTTTTTTGGGATGATACAAAGACCAATTGTTACTATCTGAAGCTGAAGGTTTATCATTAAAGTTCTGAAAGTACAGTAGAATATTCTGATAGTTTAGCTAACTTTTATCATAAGATTTCATTATGCTGGGGGATGGGGCTCAACACTATATGAAAACATTCAAGTTTGTTCTAGTCATCCAAACAACTTCCAAGAGTCTAAAATGCCGTTTCTTCCTTTCTCCCTAGAAGGGTGAAGAGATGAGATGAATGAAATGAGGCGTTAAGAACAAACACTGACATTTTAAAACACTCCTAAAATCTTGATGGATTTTTAAAGTTCTTTTTTTACTCTACTTATTTTGGAATATTTTTCTCAATGAGATATTATAGACCTAATACACATTGCATCTGAGGCTAAGTGTTAAGGAGTGTAAATCACTATTGACACAGGCAACAAACATTCATCATCTCTACAGGGATGAAAGACAATGAAACATTCAGCAGATGTAAAATTGAAAAGCAAGAGAGAAAAGGAACCACTATAACAAGCAAAGTGAATACTTAGCATGGGAGCTAAAACCAGCAGGAAGAGAATTATATTTCAACATTACCCTTGACCCTGTCAATTTTTAAGTTTTCTAGTCAGTTTTGTTCCTGTTTCTAGATTTGGAGTGAAGTTTTCACAAGCTTTTAGGCAATTTCAGCCAAGCTTGTACTAATTTTGAAGTATTTACAGGCTCATCTATGTAGAAGATATGTTCGTGAAAGATCTTCCCAGTTCTCTCATAAAAGAAAAACTCAGTAGAATGCATTCTAAACTAGAAGTCTAAACAAATTTACAGTGCATCTCCCATTAAAAAGTAAAAGCATTAATGCAAGCAGATAAGCACTAGTTATCAATTTTACTCTTAATCCTTGATGTCATCCTTAATGTCTAAATTTCAATCTTGAACTTATCACCTGAATCATCATGTAAAAAAAAGTTCAAAAGAAATGCCCTTGTAAATGTTTAAGCTATTACTACTTGTCATTTATATCAGACTTCAAGATTTTGAGGATAGTGCTCCTTCAGTCACAGAATGTGACTTATGACTAACTTCTCTCCCCTGAGTGACTAGTTTGGGCCTTTCTTTCTTTGTCTCATTTGTCCTTTAGCAATGAGAAGTTCAAGATATTTAACTGGCTGAAAAAAGGATAGGGTACAGCTCACAGAATCTTTACATATAAACAAAATACACTATTTAAAAGCTAGTAGAGATACACTGAAAAGCTGGATTTCTGTGTCACAAAACAGCAATTTTAGATGGCCCTATTCTCTGTTCAAATAACAGATTTTTAATCAATTATGAACATAATCAATTTCATTTTTTCAATTCAGTAACTTTATCTCTATTAAATACGACCTACAAATAGAAATGTGATAATTGATAACGCAATTGACTTCATAACCTACCTCAACACCTTCAGAAAAAATGAAGAATGCTGTGAAGATGAGGAATAAACCGTTTACAAAACCAGCGAGTACTTCTGCTCGAACATACCTGCAAGAAACAAAAAAAGCAACAGCAGGTATTACCACCTTCACTGAAATGCTGAAATCAGAAGTGGAACTTAAGAGACCGAAGTGAAATCTTCTAGTTCTCAAGCAGTTGTTTCCAATAAAATACTGTCAGGTTAGAATACTATGTAATTTCAAGGTAGCAAACATCAAACTTAATAAGTTGTGGCTGTTCTTTAATAAATGGAACACCAACTGTTCAAATGCAGAGCAGTAATTAATTCAGAACCTGCTTTCACTGCAATCAGTTCATGGTACCATCCTTTCTAAATTGATTTCTAGGCACACTGGAGTTTCCACCTTAATTAAACTGTGCTTTAAGTTTCAAACTACATGACTCACACTTAAGCAAGACAGCTGAAGCTAAATGCTGACACTCAGGTCAGTAATGCTATGGGGAATGCAGCAGCCCATGTTACAGCTCATTTGTGTTAATCAGTATCACCAATTAATAATGTTGTATCACCGGGATCATTCTATAGGGCACAACTGCAATGTTCAGTGCAACCAAGTGTCCCTCAAACAGAACCAGCTACAGCAGGTATATCCACAGAGAGTGGTATGGGGTGACACACCTCAGCCTTGAGGATCTGTGTTAATGAAGCCACAGCTGTCAAATCCTGCTGGTTCAAAGAATTATGGCTTATCACCTCAGGTGCAGCATCACTGAGATTTAGCTCCTTTAAGTCATAACTTTCTGTTCCAAAGGCAGCATGGGGTACCAGCAGTCTGAAACTCCATGGAACACTCCATGTAACCTGCTCCCCAAAAGCAATGCCTTCATATTTTTAGTATTTCTGGAGAGATATTAGCTTAGACGTTTATAAAACTCACCTTAAAAACCCCCACACTTTCAACATAGTTTTTCCATGTTCTGCAAAAAGAGGTTTTGTTTATACAGTGAAAAATGACTACTTCCTAAAGTATAAGGTAACAGCCTGAAGTTTCTTACCCATATGAGAAAGCATCGTTTGACCTCCATTTTGAAATAACTGAAGCTGCTAATCCAGCCAGTAGAGCAGTACAGTCAAAAAACATATGAAAAGAATCTGATATTAGACCTAAACTGCAAGAGAACAGGGGGGAAAAAAAAGTTAGGTTCCATATGCTACATGTTGAGTATGAACAAAAAGCCCCACAACAATTAATCTTTTACACACTAGCAGAATACACTGTGTTTCTAAGCCTCGGGCATGATTTTGCTAGCATACAGGAGAAATCTGCACCTGATCACTAATACAAATATGACAAAACTACTTTTGTCAGCTTAGGAAAGGCACTTTGGAAGAGTGCTTAGCAAAAATCCTCCTAGCACGTGATTTTGGTGATAGTAGAAGGTAGTTTTCACTGTCCCAAACCAAAATGTCTGGAGGAGATATACCCACAGCCACACCTCTCACCAGCATAATCCAGCCTTAAATCTTTGCTTTAGACCAGCAGACACACACTACTCATAGATCTAGAAGCTGAAGGAAGCAGAGGCTGAAAGACCATGTGTTTATTTCAAAGACCAATGCACAACTACAATCTTGACTGACAAACACAGGAAAAGTGTAGAGTAGAACAGCCTGCTAAAAAGTTCAAAGCAAGTTAAATTAGCTCATGAGTTATCCAGTCAGTAGAACTCCAATCAGTTTGCAGGCTACAGGTAAACTGGATTTAACAGCACACACAACAGGTGCCAAAGTTTACTAAATTACTCATAAACAGGTTCTGTAAGACTGCAAGGAAGTTTGTGCTTTGAAACACAATTGCCTCATATTTGAAAAGACATTTGATACAGAGGTACTGATGAGCATTTGTTACTGCAGTTGTCTCAAAAGTTCTGTTTTCCCAATCCCTTGATAGTCAAAGAACAATTACAAATGCAACTCAGTTCTTAGAAACTGAAGAACAAGAGGCAATTACTGGAAGTAACAAGTTCTAGAGGACAGCAACATTTCCACACTTAAGTAAAACACAAAGTTTCATTAGCCAAAGTTCCAACTGGTTAACAAAAAGACCGCAAACATTTCAGCCGGACTGAAAACAATTACAAGATTGTTTTGAAGTGTTTCAGATAAAACACTACTGTGGAAGAAGTGGGTTTGGAGAGGAGAGAGAACAAGTGTCTTGCTCTGCATATTTACATATATACTTTATGGACACATAGAGAGTTATATACACATACAACTGTAACATTTAAGGCACAGGAACAATGGCATGATAAATTGTCCCTAGGTGCTGCAGCCACCAAAGCAGGAAACAGATGAAGTCATTCTGAACAAACTTTGAAAGAAGACCAGAGAGGTTTTAGCTGGATACCTATGAAGTAGCAAAATGAAACTCTCTACTGAATTCTGGACCGGTATAGGTGACAGCTTCCCCCGCCCTCAAACCAGGTGACTTCTCTAGGGAAACAGCTTGTTTGAGGTTTGGTTCTGAGCAGTAAGGAAGATTCAGTGATGGGGAAAACCCAACACAAACCACAGCAAATGTTCAGGTAGAAGGTAGTTAGGGTGACAGTAACCTTAGGTTGTAATGATTGTGGAATGGAAGGAACAAGCATAGGTAAACAGGGATTGCTAGTGGTTTCTGAGGATTGGGGTTTTTTTAAAGAGGGTTTCCCAGGGTCCTGGGAAAGAGAAGAATGTATATGGACTGTTACTAAAATAAAATCCCATACTAGAACTGGAAATCATACAGCAAGTTACCATGGCACTGTGCTCACACCTGCACATCTCATAAGACAAGACTTACTGCAGGGGCAACACCAATACAGTTAAGCTGCTTTCAAGACCTAAGCTAACAACTCCGAGTGGCCAGAGGCACCTGGATTTATCACCAGGGGTCAGCACAGACTGTGTCTGCAGCACAATTCTCCACGTGGTTATGCCAGGTCTGTAGCATAGGTGCAGCTGCAAGCAATTCAGCTGCACAAGTGGCAGGAAGCTTGGTAAGAGCTCAGTCTGATTTCATCTAAGGCTCTTTTTGAGTGACCTGTAAATTAACAAGACCTTAAAAATGGGTGCAGAGTGATTACTAAAGTAAACAAGCAATCCAGTCAACCATGAGCAACATGAGATGCGTGCAAGAACTTCCATTAGAACTGGAACACATCACCTGAAGTATACACTAGTAGAAACCCTGTACTCAAACACACTGTCTCAATGAGGACACTTCCATTAACTGATTTAGTAACAAAATACCATATCCAGTTCTGTTTTCTGTGCTTCAAGAACATCAACATTCCAGAGTATTTCTAAGATGATCATAAAAATGACAAAACAGCTGTGTGAGTTCAGGAAACAACCTACTTGGCAAACAAAAGCTAAAGAGAATTTCTTATGTGAGGAACACTGGAGCTCTGCTCTTCAAAATGAATATTTCTCCCCATAGGGCTCCTCATTTGCTTGTTATGTGTTTATTCTTCCAAGGCATGAATTGTCTGCTTTGACTGAAAGCATTCCTCATAATATTCTCTGCTACTCCTCTCTGCTAAAGAGGTGCTTGCTAAGACACTGTTTTGTTCTAGTCCAAAATCTAGACTTAAAGGTATCCGAAATTACTGACTTGAAATATAAACAAAAGGTTCAACTAATGGCTATCCACCAAGTCACAATTCTTAATCTCAATTATAAACTAGAATAAATAAGAGTCTTCTCCATTCCCATACACCGAATTCTTCAGTGGCAAAGTTCTGTCAAGTGTCACTTAAGTTTCTCAGTTATCTCACACACAGCACTTTTCCAGGTCACTCTACCAAAAGGAATTATTATGCTTAAAAGACAGACATCAGCACAAACTCACATGAACATAAAGCTCTTTGTACTCAAAGCATAGATAAAAATATTTACATCCTCTCAGTTAGCAGAAAAAAAAAATCCATGCACAAACAGACAGACCACACATACAATAACCCTCACACAATTGCAAGTGAATCAACATCAAAGACCAAACCAAACACACTGAGGATGGTCTGTGTTTGCCCAAGATGGCACTGCCTGCTCACCAGTGCTACAGCAGCAGTTACTGTAATCAAGGTGAAGGATTTTATAGTGCAGTTTGAGAGATTCAGAAAAACATGGCAAACATAAGGATGCAACTGTTTCCAAACTCACTTTGCTGCAGTCACTCAAAACTCTTAAGAGTCCCAGTAACTTGTGCCCATATTACAGCTTTTGGTAAGCACTACTTTAAGTTCCATATGGAAGGACACTGTTGGGCTTACATGAAATTTCCATGCTAGTCCACTCTGAACTACTGACAAAGAGACTGAAATATCACTATAGAACAAACTCTCAATCACGAGTGAAGCACAATGGAGATACCTGCACAATTACTTGTCCTCTACCTGTTAATGCCATACACTAGTACAGAAGTTATTTTGCATTTGTTTATATTTTCCTACAGACTTTTCAGTAGCAATTTAGTCAAGCCTCTCATGTTTTTTCCACCTTTGTGAATTTACGTGCTATGTGAAACACCACTTAGCAACACCAGGGTATGTTAATTCCTGTTTCTCCCTCGGGGACAAGGATGTTTGGTGCACTGCTGGGTCTTGCCACCCCGAGCATCAACCTCCACATTACGCCACACTCCCAAACAGAGGATGTCTGTGGCGAGCAGCAGCACGAAACGGTTACAACTCCCAAATCCTGCAACCCGCACCAAGGCCAGGCTTCCTCTTCTGCAAAGAGCCGAGGAGCGCGGCACAACGGCAGCTCCTAATGCCATTCCTCCGAGCCGGGGGGACTACCCCC